ATATCCTATTATGTCAGCTATTGGCGAAAGATTAAATGAACTTCCTGCATTCAAAGAAGCACATCCAAATCGTCAACCTGATTGTCCTGATGAAGAAAAAATAAAATCTTAATTTAACATTATTTTGTTGAATAATAATATCTTTTTTTTTCTTGATTTTTATTATTATTCATAGTTTTAAACAAGCACATAGAAGAAAAAGTTGATAGTAATTATATTATATATAAAGAAAAATAAATATATATTTCCATCACAGAAATCTGTTTGTTCATCAATGCCTTAATTCTATATGCTATCAAATATATTTTTGAAAAACAATCGCCAAAGACAATACAATGCATAGTAGAGATAGAAATGGTTGAGCTCGAACTTTCTAAAAAAAACTAGGTTAGTACTGTTTGGTTTCAAAAGCACATGAACCGGTCCCATCTTTGGTATATAACGCAAGAATTTGATTATTAAAGAGTGAAAATAAGGAGAGTTATGATGACCGATATATCATTGTTAACAATTTTTATTTCGAAAAATGTTCATTGAAAATGAACGAACAATGTCTGGTTTTTTCTCTCAATAAAGATTTATCTTATCGCGTATCATTAGCAAAAATGGATGATATCGTCAACGATTTAATCGACTTTAAAAATTGAAAAACATAAATAAAAAAAATAAAAAGTGATGATTCATTCTTCGGCAATACAGCTGTTTTTTATCGCAGCTGAACGATTCCTATGTTAATCGCGTCAAAAGAACCAAAGAAATTGTTAGAAATCGATAAACGTTTTGTAGAGAAAATGTCAATCATGATGAAAACGACTGAAGTAGTTTTTTTTATTGTAATTAAAGACTGTCTTCAGCTGTATTCTCATGTGAAAAAAAACAAGATATTGCCTATATTGCTGTAGAAATTTCATGTATTTATTCATACATGGCCAGCACACAAATCTAGAATTCAAAAGTAAAAATAATATTATCTTGATGGATTAGTATTCTTGTCTTATTCTATTTCAAATACAAAACGAACTGAATATGAAATTATCATGAACTTTATGCTTAAAGATTTTATCAAATCAAAAGGAAGGAAGGAAGGAATACCCGTACCGTTGCCAGTGTAGGGTGAAGATCAACAACATATGTAAAAGGGAAAAAGACTAAAATAATGATTAATTAGTTATTTAGTTATATACTAAAAATACACATACAATTAGAGAAAACCCAAGAGGGGGAGTTCAATTTGCTGTACTTTTTAGATCGAAAGTCGTAGAAACTTCAATGAAGGGATTGCCCGTCAGAATGTCTCCTCCACATCTTGCGAATGTGGTTTCAGAGATATTCGTCATAAAATCCAGTAATTGAAGTCTCAGCCTTTCTAACGTGCATCGAGTTATCTTGTTCATACTTACCTTAGCTCATTTCATGATTGTAGCTAACGTCTTATCACATGTACGTCTACGTATTTTCACTGCGAGTTCATTTTTACATATACTACTGCAATTAGGACATTCATTCGATTTATTTGTTGTTGGTAGTGCCATCATTGAAGTTTGATTTGGTTTAGCTGTTACGGTCTTGTGGATTGCTTCGTTAGCACGCCTTCGTAGTGCGCGCTGTCTGTATTCGTGAACTATTTGTTTAATACTGGAGCTTGTCATATGAGCTTGTACGGGTCGATTGATGATCTGGCGCCATTTGTTTCTATCCATGGTATCTCGCCTCCAGTTGACACTATCAGATTGTTTGATGTCAGCTTTTATTTTGTCTTCATATCTTTTTCTAATGCCATGGTGTTGAGGTCGATGGGCACCTGGAAAGTAGGAAAACATAAGTTTCTTCGGTATCATTAGTTCATTGTTATCTTTATTCATCCTGTTTAGATGACCAAACCACCTCAGCCTATTCCTTCTCAAGATAACATCTAATTTGTGGTTGTCCAGTAAGTTCTAACATTTTCGCATTTGATAGTCGATCTTCTAGATTTGCTCCAATGATTGTTCGAAGACATTTCATGTAAAAGGAATTTAATCGTCGCTCTTGAATATTTGTTAAAGCCCATACTTCACTTCCATATAACAATATAGGTACTACACATGCTCGAAAGATTCGTAGTTTTGCATCATATGACACGGTCTTGCGATGCCATACACAATATTTAAGCATGTAGAAGGGGGGTGATGCTTTCGATATGCGTATTCCAATTTTCTTCTCCATCGTTTGGTCTGCTGTTATACAACAACCAAGATATATGAAGGATTCAGTATGTTTATCCTTTTCATTCCGGATCTTCATATTGAAATCAAGTTGATTGACCATTTGTCCTTTGATAATACGACCAGTTGCATCTTGTTGTAATTGTTTCACGGACATAATGAGTGTCTTCTTTACGTTCATTGTTAAGCCACATTTTTGTGTTATAGTTTCAAAATCCTGAATGAACTCTTCAAGTTCTGTTGTGGATTCGCTCATGATAGCGAGATCATCTGCATAAGCCAGATCTAGAACATTCATTAATTTGTGTTGATCACAAGTGGGGGGTGGAAATCATGACCATATGCCATCTTGACCCCATTTGCTTTTGTTTCTTCGAGTACTTTTCTTATGATGAAGTCCAGTACGATGTTGAATAGAATAGGTGATTCAATTCCTCCTTGTTTGACACCTGTTTCTATGTCGAAAATTATAGATTCTTCACCTCCAATACGCACCTGAGCTCTTGTATTGTTATAAAGAAGCTGCAACATTTTGATAATTTTTTCCGTCAGACCATAATGACGACAAATTTTTCATAGAAGTTGACGATTGATCGAATCATATGCTTTGCGTAGGTCGATGAAACATATGTATAGTGATTTGTTGAATTCACGTGATTTTTGCATGACCATTTTTAATGTGAAGATCTGGTCTACAGTCGACCTTTTTGGTCGAAATCCAGCTTGTTGTTCGAGAAGTTGTTTGTCGAGGAGTTATCGGATTCGGTTCAGAATGATTCGAGAGAATATCTTGCTGGTCACCATTAGTAATGATACAGTGCTGGCCAAAAGTCCCTCACCCTCCTGAACTTCACTCATAATAAGAGCTAGACAGCTGAAATTTTGTGTGTATATACTTTATGATGAATTCTAATCATAGGCATAAGCTTCGTCATAATTGCTCGAGTTAGAATGGAGTTATAATAGGTAGTAGTCATGTCCCTTGTGAAACCCATAATTCGAGAAACGAAAGACCTTTTGAGTCGGCCAACATCTCATTATGTAGCACTC